AAAAGTCAAGATATTTAAATACACATAGATGGCCCTTCCCTATTACCCCCATTCAATATGCAAATTAATGCAGTGAACAAAATTTATAACTTTTTATCAAGTTTTTAATTGTACCTTTACAATTAAGGTACAATTACGAGATTTACATAAACTAAGCAGGTATAATTGAAATCTGAAGTTTTAAAAATTATTCTTATAGTAAATACCAACTTGTGCTCAGTCCAGTTCTTTCAGTGGCCTGTTTTCTCCCCTGAGCTGGGTTTCTGTAAACCCCAAGGTAGGCGTAGCTGTGGGTGGGTGTGCTTGGCGAGTGCGTGGGGAAGAGACTTAAGTAGGACTAGAGTTTGAAAAAACCTTAAGCAGTATGTCTGTCTGTGAGAGAATTGAGCATTATGCATGAAGTGTGTGTCTGTCACTATAGCAGGTGGGGGGGGGGTCACGTAGGCGCCTGTGTTACCAATTTCATCTGAGCTCTTGAGTCAGACTAAACACAAGCGTTACTGAGCCAGGGACTGAGCAAGAATACAGGAGGTTATTTTCCATTCGGACTGCCACTTAGAGTCTCTGTGACCTTTGACATGTTTTTCATTCTCCTTGGAGTTCAGTTTTCTAATATCTAAAATGGCAAGATTAATTGTACCTGTCTCATAAATTTGTTTTGAAGGCTAAATGAGCTAATGCATGCCTGGCTTGTGGTAAGCGCTTCCTAAATTTTACCCACCAACATTTCGAAGGGCAGAGTGCTCTGTAAACAGAGGCAATATATATAGACATAGGATAGGTTTTTCAGATAGTAACCCTGGTCCCATCATTCAGGGCAGAAATAGTGCTTTGATAGCTCATAACATTTTAGTTCTCTTAGCTTTGAATCAATGTTTTAAAGTAATTCAGTTCAAAAGGGAAAGTAAAAGTTTCCTGGTTCAACTTCATACTAAATATAAGCCTTCCAGTGCCAGAAATAAATGTCTTCAGATTCCAAGGAAGTATCTCAAACCTCTTTGCTTTTATTCTTAGTAAAAAACAAATTTATGTTGTTTTTAATCTTAAAAACGTCCTCAATCCTGTATATTTTCCTATCAAAAAGGAAAAGATAATGTTTAATTTTTTCGCATATTTTTAAATAGGTTTTTCCCAATGGGAAATTGAAATATTTAAAGTCGGTGTCTGAAAGGGCTGGCAGGTAAGGACCGTGCCTCAGATTTGTGGGGGGCGCCTGCTTGTTTCTTTTTCAGGCTGATGCCTAGACCCCTCTGCTGCCCTGCCCCGAGCCCGCAGCAGTGCAGCGCCGCAGCCGGTCCGCTGCTCCTCGGGAAGGGCGCGGGACAGCGAGGCAGGCTGGTCTCACTCCATCCCTGACAGATCTCAGGAGACGGAAATATTCTAATTTTCCTTGACAGACTTTGATACATTTCCTTATCCTTAGAGTTAGTACATCTGAGGTAGATCTCTTGGAATAATTTTACCCTTTATAGATGTGTCCTATCAGGCTAAAATAACACAGATAACCTTGTAAACAACAGAAATGTGTTGCTCACAGTCCTGGAGGCTGGGAGGTCCAAGACCAGGGCAGCCATGCTTGTCTCCTTCTTGGGAGGCTGCCTTCCTGGCTCATAGCCAGCCACTTCTTGCTGTGTCCTCACTTGGAGGATGGGGCAGGGATCCCTCCGGAGCCTCTTATGAAATCATATGTAAGACACCGACCCCCCTGGCAAGGGCTCCCCGCTCATGGCCTCAGTACCTCCCAAAGGCCCTACTTCAAACATCATTATCTGTGGGCATTCGGATTTGCACACTGGACTCTCTCGGGGGTCGGTGGGGGAGTTCACTGTCAGACCTGAGCGGTGTGCGTTGCCTTACGCTGATCTTGCCTGTGGCTCTCGAATAAGGAGGCTGCCTTAAAAACTCTCATTGTGGCTTGGCTGTCCCCACCCAAGGACCAGGGGTGCTCGCTGTTGGTTCCCTTTCACAGCCTATTTCCTCTGCTTAATTTTGTCCTATTTCTACCAAATTTACGTTACCTATAAAAATACCTCACTGTCACTTAACTGTTTCCTGTATTTCTTATGCTCTCCTGTTGGCTTTTCCCTTCACTTTTTCAAATCACATCTGTCTTTTAAAGATAAGCTTAGGTCTTAGGTGTACCTCAGTCTTGTCCTATTATTTTATTCCACACGAGTAGTTCCTTTTTCCAGAATCTTTTTTATTATTTGCTTATCATTTGTTTTGTGTGCCCTTTTTTTCTTCCTTTCCCTTTAAGTCCTTTCAGGTAGATACCATACTGACCCTTTTTGTAGTGTGATGTGGTAGGTATTCCATAAATATTTTTTAATGTTGCTGACTTCTTGACTAATCAAGTGCTTGAACAGGTAGAATCCATGCAGAATGAGTCATTAGTCACTTTACCAAGAGATTAAGAGAAAGTAAACTGAATTTGCTAAAAATATTGTGAATAAGAATATGTTAGATTCTTCTGTGTGTTAAAAACAAACTAGGCAAAAAGAGCAATATCAGTCTTTTTTACACAGATACATTTAAAATATACCAGTGTAACAAAATTGCCAATTAAGAAACAGAGCATGAATGTTATTTCAAAACGGGAAAAGCTATGTTATATTTAAGGAACTTTAAATTTTGATAATCCAGCCATAGGTGAGGATAACTTTGTTAAAGTATGAATTCTGGTTTTAAGCATAGTAGCTGCCAGATTTCATAAGACTTACAGAAGTAACTTTTTATATTTCTAAAACCCCAGAAGGGGGAGTCTCTGCACATGTCTGAATGACTAAATGCAGTTTCACTGTATCATTATTGGGCCACACAGTTATTTGAATGAATTTATGACCCTTCCAGATTTTTCCAGTTTCCTACAAAATTGCTCTTCCCCAAGAACCCCTGGGAGTTTGGCTCTGTAGGACCTCTGTGTTTTCGTCGCGGTCGGATTTCCTGGGTGTGTTTGGGCTCTCTCCTTCTCTCCAAGTCTGGCTCAAGAGCCGGGGGCCTGTCTGTGACCCCGGGCCTCTGGGACCTGCCAGAGAAGGGCTGCCTTGCTTCACTGGGAAGCAGGAGTCACCGGGCCTCCGCTGTTCCCCAGTACTCCTTGTGTTCTTTAAAATAGTGTCATTACAGTTGCCAACATTTAGCTGTAGCCACTGATAGGCTACCTGGCTGGGTCACGTTGAGCTCTTTCATTTTATCCTTCGTACAGTAATAATAATGTGCTGCCACCCTTCCTGGAGTGATACTGACAAGTTGAGATGGCAGATTAAATGCAGGCCCTTTTGAACCCTCACCGCCTTCTTCCTTCCTTTCTCCTCAGTGATAGAGTCCCTGTCACCAGGGACAGAGCTCAGGGGTCTAGGGAGCACCAGGTGAGGCTACTGTGGTAGTGGCCACCTCAAGCAGTACAATTTAGATGGAGGTAATAGAGCTGTAACAGGGATTATAAAATTTAATTAACACAATTGTTTAAAACTTCTCTTTTACGGCATCTTTTATTTTTTTTCAAAAAGTCTCACTTGGCATTTAAATAAAGGAAACGTATAAATGCAGCCTCTAGTTGAAGATTCAGTCCACTGCTGGCCCGCCAGCAGCCCCCCGCCCGCCCCCCGCATACCTCCCTGGAGCCCGAGGGCTCTGAGGAGAGCAGTTTAGAAGGGACTGGTACAAGCGGATCCCGTCCTGAGGCATAATCCTGGTGTCTCCGATTTTGTTAGACTCTCGAGGTTTGGCTCGTCATGTCCATTGCTGAGAAACGTTTGTGTCCTGTGAATGTCATTAAAACTCTTCATCTAGTATTTCTATTTTAGGAAACAGTTAACGCCACTCATTCAGTTACATAGGCTGAAAACCACAGAGTGACTTACTCACTAATGAATATGAATGTTAAAAATTATCATTTATCATTTATCTTAATTATTAATTTAATTACTCTTTGATAATTTTGTACTAATCCTTTGACATTAATACTGATCCATTGACTTTAATACATGAAGAAATTGGAGAAATAAAAGATTTCAAGAATAACTGGTAACCTTGAGTATCTTTGTTTTTGCCTTCTTCATAATTCGAAGATTTTTTTTTTAAATCACCCAGTTGATTTATGATGTACTACATTCCTAGAGCATGTAAGTTATTTGGTGCTTTTTATTTTAGGCCTCTCTTCCACCTTCATGTTTAACACTCAGCCTTCTAAACTACATCTTGTTATAATCTGACCCCCAAAAAATGACTTTCTTTCTGATTTGAAGAGGGGTTAGACTGATGCTAATTCATCATTTAGTCTTTTTTTTTTTTTAAATCACCGACATTAAATGAGTTAAGGATTGGAGTTGACCTAAATTATGCCTGTTCAGATGGGTGTTGCCTGTGAGACCAACGGTAAAGTGGGGGTTGTCCTGCCGTGAGCCCAGAGAGGGTAGGGCGCGCAGAGCGGGGCTGGACTCACTGGAGTGGGACCGTCCGTACGAATAAAGACATGAAAGGTGGTCCTGCCATCCCTCTGGCCTTTGGGTTTTTTGGTTTTTCCTTTTTAATCCTGACCCAAGGACATGTTTGAAAATTTGGGAGAGATGGGAAGGGAGGGGAAAAGGGAGGAAGAGGGACACCGATCAGTTGCCTCTCGCACGAGTCCTGTGTACTGGGGACTGAACCTGCAACCTAGGCATGTGGCCTGACCGGTAATTGAACCCTTGACTTTTTGGTTTATGGGATGACACTCCAACCAACTCAGCCACACCGGCCAGGGCATGGCTTGTGGCAGCTGAACGTTCATAGCAGTGTTGCTCTTGGGCCCGCAGGGTCAGCTCCTCCTGCTGCTGTTCACCAGTGCCCCTTGTATTCTTGAAAATAGTACCAACACAGAGTGTCTTTGACTCTTCTTATCTGCACATTGTGATTTTATTAGAGAAGAATTTAAGTGTAAGAGCAGTCAAAAATCAGCTTATAGCTGATTTCTCTTTTAATTCATAAATGGACTTTAAAAATCGTTTTTCTTACTGCAGGCCATGGTTGCTTGTTACCCAGGCAATGGAACAGGATATGTACGTCATGTTGATAATCCGAATGGAGACGGAAGATGTGTGACGTGTATATATTATCTTAACAAGGACTGGGACGCCAAGGTATGCAGTTTAATTGACTGTTTGTTCTTTCTCACAGGTGCTCCCTGTAGGTAAGACTCTTTAACACATATAACAGTCAAAAATTCTTCTTTAAATTTGTTTCAGTTTTAGGTATTGCGAGTGGATCTTTGTAAAATGAAACATATACTATTACATCTCAAAAAGTAGGTTCCCTTGTTTTCAGGTAGTGAACTGTTCATCTAAAATTTAACTTTTATAAAAGTGTCTTTTATTAAAACATAGTTCTTTTAATAGTTTTTATGAAAACACTTCTGTCAATGATTATTTTATAATGGCTTTTGAGGGAGATCATTTATAAATAATTATCATAATTTATTTGCTACTTACTCCTACTTTATTCTTCACATTGTTGTAGAAATGTTATCTGGCATTGGATTGTTGGATTGAATACTGGTTAAGGAAAGCTGGAAGCTCATCAATACTGACAAATCCTGTAAAACCAGTTAGAATGTACAGGGTGGGCAAAAGTAGGTTTATAGTTGTGAGCACCTGAAACACAGAGTTAATTCTTATATTGTTTATTAACTATTATTTATTTGTATTATGTAAACCTACTTTTGCCCACTCTTGCATAACACATTTAACTTCTCCTGTTTTAAACATATATTCCCTTGATATTAGTCTGAGATTAGCTTAGGTTTAAATGATTTAAACTTTGGAAGCATGGTATGTTTTATTATTGTATTGGAGGTGGTATAAACTAATTTTTGGTTGATTTTCAAAAGTTTTTTAAATTTACTTTTTTGAAGCAAAATATTCAAATAGAAAAGTGAACACAATGTATACCCCAATGGGTTTTCACAGAGTCAACAACTATGTAGCCAGAGTAATTTTAAAAATTAAATACCCTTTAAAACACCTCTCCCCTCCTCACACACACATACACACAAGTGGAAACCACCAAGTCTTAAATGTGCCAAACCTATTTCTGTCCTAAACATATATTCTAAAATTTAGGACATTCTCACAGTGCTCCAGAGATCTTTCTCTGTCATTGTGATTTAAGGAGCTTCCTCTGTCCTAATCCAAGGTCAAAGTGCAGGTAAGTTTTACTGCTAAGTAGAGCTTGAGTCATAATGTCAACAAATGTGGTTTTTCTCTCACAACTGTCAAACTTTGAAATAGAGAAATAAATTTGGTAATTCAGCTTGAGCCCAACATACAAAATAGATTGGTTTAACTTTGGTGAAAACTTTAAAAAAATTATGATTTTTGAAAGATTTTTATGACTATCTGGAAAGCTAGAAATACATTGATCAGCTCTTAACTGCTATATACTGTTAGGTCCTTTAGGCCAATATTTAAATTTTCATTTGACCTAGCCAAAGTCATTAATACATTGTTTTTACGTTAGTACCTAAGCAGAAAAAAAGTCCATAGCATTTTTTCTACGTAGAACTGAAAACGTTCATTACAAGAATGTGCTGAATGTCTCTAGTGTGCCAAACACTGTTCGGGGTGCTGGAGAAAGAGCGGAAATGGAACCAGCCCTCACAGAGCTTGGGCCCTGGTGGAGGGTGGAGACCAGCGGACTGGCAGTTACGGTTGGTTATGCCACATGCAGGACAGGTTGCTGTGGGGGCACGTGGGAGCTCCCCCGGATCAGAGGTCAGGGATGGTGTCCCAGAGGAAGACTAGACGCTTCACCATCTCTCTGTCAACATTTCCAGCAGACCACCTGTGATACTCCCAATGACTCCAGTTAAGCGAAGGGGCCTGGGGGAAGGCAAAACATGTTCTTGGTCACAGGGTAAACATTCTTCACATGTGTGCATGAGTGCCGCGAGAGCCACTATGACAACGCAGGCACCTGAGGGAAGGCGGGCAAGGTACCAGGCAGCTTGAATTTAACTTACTGGGAGTAGAGCCTGATCAGTAACTTTTCTCAACTATCGATTCCAGGAATAGGCCCAACCTCCTTAATGTCTCGATCAAGTATTAAAGTTTCTTTCAATTTAAGAGTCTACCTGCTTAGGAGTTTAGTTTTTTTGAGGGTGAAGAGCTGCTTAGCTGGCTGGTTTTGCCTCGCTGTGATTCCCCCAGGTTGTAAATACCACTGGGACACCTGCCTGCATTGTTCCCTGCTCTGCACAGGCTGCCTCCAGGCCCAGGACAGCAGACGCTTCCGTGGGAGTTGGACCGGGTAGGCGGGTCCATCTGATCCCAGAGGGAGAAGCAGGTGTATTTGGGTAAATAGTAATAGTCCTTTTGGGATGGAATCCAGTTTTATATGCAGGTGGCCATCAGTGTGTAAAAGGGAGGGCTCCAGTTTCTAATAATGGCCACAGTGGTGGTGCTTGTGACAAATGATGGCAAGTTCTGCTGGTGACACTGAATTCTTTAAATAAGAGGCATTGCATTTGTGACTGTCCTGTTCATTATCTGTTGGACTTTAAAATATGGTAGACTCCTTATGTGCCATCCTTTAACCATTGATAGTACAGGCCTGCCTCAGAGGTATGCACTTGGGTCCAGCCACCACAGCAAAGCAGATTCTGCAGTGAAGTGACTGTCACAGCAGAGCAATTCGTATTCCTTTTGGTGGTGGGAGTTCCTGCAATTTGTAAAAAATGCTACATCTGTGAAGCACAGTAAAGTGAGGTATGCCTTTAATTTAGTCAAGATGATTTGAAATGTATACATTTTAAGAGTAGCTTAAGCAAATCATTAGCATACATAAATAAGAAATGTTTACTAGCTCAGAACTCCCAAGTGTCACTTTAAGGATTTTGGATTCAGATAATATTCATCTATTTCATCAAGTACTTATAACAGGAAATGATTTTTTTCTTGTATCAGTGCATATACTTGGAATCTCAACTCACCTTCAGACTTTGTAGATTGAGATATATCTGAATAATTCAGTTAAGAATTTTGATTCACTGTAATGGTCTCCCCCCCCCCTTAAACTGAATTTTGTAGCATTCTTGGTTACTCATACTTACATATTTGGCTCTTTTCCTAGGTAAGTGGAGGTATACTTCGAATTTTTCCAGAAGGCAAAGCCCAGTTTGCTGACATTGAACCTAAATTTGATAGACTGCTGTTTTTCTGGTCTGACCGTCGCAACCCTCATGAAGTACAACCAGCATATGCTACAAGGTAGTGTTCCTTTTAAGAAACAATTGGTAAAGGCTATGGCAGGACAGAAGGGATACATGAGATAAACTTAAGTTTTCAGTTACTTGTATCATAATGCTTCAGTTATAACTTTCATTTGAACAGTTGTATAAGATTTATTCACAGCACTAAATGTGACTTCTTTGCATAGCCACTCCGTGTTTGGGGTAAAAATGGAAGTACAGCCCCTTCCTCCTTCCAGCCCCATCTTCTTGTTTTGTTCATCTTATAACTGCTGTCCATCCTGTGATTCTGAGAGTAGCCGGCCCTTGGCCAGCGTATAGAAAGGAGCGGGCAGCTTTGTAAAAGGTGGTGGAGGTGGGATGGGAGATGATGTAAAATGACACAGTGTAGAAACGAGAGGTAACCAGGGAGTAGAAGTAAAAAGAAACAAGAGTGAAGGAAAGAAAAGGTTGTCATGTGTGGGAGTTACAGTTAGAAAAATAACCCTTTAGCTTTAATAATACCATCTTTTTCTCCATTATTCTTTTTTCCCCAAGATTTAATATTCTAAATCTATTACGTTTAATGTATTCTTTAAGTTATTTTACCATTTACTGTGACTCAATTAAAATGTTGAGACTGTTAAAATGGAAGATGTTTGACATTGTTGTAAAAATAAGTATTTGTAGAAAAATGCACTAGGCATTAAATACCTATTTTTCATTATCGAAAGGATTTTGAACATGATGATAGTGAATTACTGGCATGCAGTTGCTTAGAACTAGTGACAAGAGGCATGTCTCAGACATTGGAAGAAGAGTTGGCTTTTAATAATGATATTAGAGACAGGCCAGCCTTAGATGAAGTTTAAATTCTCAAGACTTTGTCGTCATATCTCACTTTTTTCTTGCTTCTTTTCAAGCCATGTTGCTTTTAGCCCTAATTCATATAGTGAGTAGCAAGCGGAACAATGCGTGGCTAGAATGGAAACTGGGGACCCTGGCACATACATGACATGCTGGCCTGCCTCTTATCTCTCCTCTCAGCACCCCAGTGCCCAGTTCTGCCCCTGCTGCTCCTAGACAACCCTTTCTGACCTAGACAGCGTTTCACAGACCTTCCTTTTCATGGCATATGCCCTGGTTGTATCCCTTGTAGATAAAGAGGTGACAGGCACTTTTAGGAGACAGCTAAGTGCCAGGCGGCATGGGGGTAAATGCCGTAGGAGTTAGGAGGAGGGAGACGGTGGCGTGAATTGTGGTGGGTGGGTCCAGTGTCCGGCAGAAAGAGGAAGTCAGCTGGATCTACAGCGCCCAGAAACAGGGAGGACAGAAATGGCGACAAAGCCCTGGGAGGAAAGGACAAGACCGGTCCAGTTCCAATGCAGAGATTAACACAAGGAGGATCGTGTAGAAGATCAGTAGGGGTAAGGAGGGAGAAGTAGAATGTCATGTAGTAGTTTACAGTCATTTTCTGGTAAGGACGTAGGGCTATAGAGGAGAGTCGACCCAGATATTTAGAACTCTGATTACCAAGGAACTAGAGGTTTGGGGTATGGGCAGAAGAGATACAACATCATGTATCTGTGTCCTTCTCCTATTGCCAAGTCCCCTTGGAGAAAGAAAAGAGTCTAGATGGCAAGAAAGGTGCTGGAAAGGGCAGAATCTGGGTCAGAGGCCGGACTGTGAGCTCAGATCTGTCGCTCACCAGCTGAGTGATCAGTGGCCTCCGTTTGCCCAGTTGTCCAGACTCTCAGATTCTGACTCTGCTTGCCTCTGAGTCTTTACTTCAAATATTTAACATGATTTAGCACTGTCACATTTACTGGCTCTTCATTGGATCTGTGTTGCTTTTCCCCCAGACTGGCCACAATCTGAAAGATACTTAGATTGCTTTGTTCTGCTACAGAACAACTGCAGCCTGCTTTCACTTCCCATAGAGTGTGCACCGAGAGGGGTAACTGTTCTTTTTAGTGTTTAATAAACCAGAGTTTCCTCATTAATTTGTGGAATGATATATTCCAAATGAGTGAAATATTCAGAAAAATGAAGCTTACTTAGCTAAACTTTATGTCTAAACACAGTACAATTGTTCTGATAAAAATCCTAAAAAATTCTTAGCATAATTTAAATCTTTCTCCGCGACTCGAGGCTATAAAACTGTAAACATGCATCTTGGTTCTTTGCTGTTACGTAGTGATGTCCCATAAGCTGTAGAGGCTGTTAGCCCTTCCTGTCACTGAAAAGCACCAGGCCTTGAGTCCTTTTCTCTTTCTCTTCCTTCAGACCTGGTGCTGTTGATAGTGCAGCAGCCATTCTCTTACCTTCTTAGGGTCTGTCTCTGGTCGGCTGTGAGCTTGAGAACAGATCAAGCAGCTTATTAGGCATTGAGAAAGTCATAACAACTCATTGGCTTTGCAGAATCGATTTGAGCTCCTGGTTCTCTGCCGCACTCTGCACACTGAGGTCACTGGATAAGTGGGTTTTGACTGTGCTCATTTATCCTCTGGTAATATCCCGATTGAGATATTATTTTGACATTACACATTTTATAGACCATTGCAACAGCGTATCCCTCTTTCCCCCAGTGATCATTCTTACCCTATTCTAAATTTTCTTTTAGGTACGCAATAACTGTTTGGTATTTTGATGCAGATGAGAGAGCACGAGCTAAAGTAAAATATCAAACAGGTAAACAGCGTTTGGGGTCAGGGTACACGGAAGGACAATGCCCGTAGTCCTTGTTTTTGTCAAATTCCTTAATTCCCTTATTTAAAAGAGGACAAGTCGTCTTCATTGTTACTTTTAACCAAAAAAAAAAAAAAAAAAAAAAATTATCCAAAGATTAGGAAAGTTTCAGGCAAAGAAGTCTGAGAAACTATTCTGATGCAAGCTGAGTTTTCCTGTGATTATCCTTTTTAGTCACAGGCTGCTGAACTCGTGATAACCGCCATCTGGCTTCCTCTCATTCTCCCCCTAAAAGGAAGTTAATATCTTTTCCTTTTTAAACATACATTCTCTAAGCAGGGGTGTCCAACCTTTTGGCATCTCTGGGCCACACTGGAAGAATTGTCTTGAGCCACACATTAAATATATTGTGACTCATAATAACAAATAAATCTTATAATGTAAATTTACGTTTTTGTGTTGGGCTGCATTTGCATCCTGAGCTGCATGTGGCCCATGGGCCGCAGGTTGGACACCCCTAGAGTACTCAGGTCTTCTACGTTTAATGTGCACATGAAGAAAGTTGATACAAAGGAGATGAATGGAAATGACGGAATCGGTAAAAAAGATAGGCATGTAGAGTCCATAGCTGCCCGTGGTGGCCATAGGTCAGCACACTGGTACTATGCCTGCGGTCCTTCAGTAAGCCAACCCTCCCTTCCCACGTGGGGCTGTCTCCTGGAGCGGCGGGTCTCAGCTTTCCCTCTGATGGACCACTTACCTGTCCTTTCTTTAACCCTGCCTTGTATCTCCCAGAGTCTGCTCAAGGTTCACATTACTGATTAACTGGCTGTATTTTCATGAGCCATTGATAATTCCCGATCAACCTTTTATAAAACTTAAAATCAGATGTTCTTATTTTTTTATGTATTTTTAAAAGTCATTATTTTTCACATAAGCCTAGTAGTGTGCTTTTAGTGACACAGAACACACTACTATTTTATAACAATTCAAATTACTTTTAAAATAAAAAGATGAAATCGTTACCTCCATGTTGGGAATGTTTTTTCCCTTTGAAGGTTACTAGCTCCGAGTCCCGCACTCGTTACAGTGCGGCACTGTGGGCAGCTCTTGGAAGTGCGGGTGTGCTAGTTTCCACGGGACGTATGCTTGCGAAGTTGAAACCTTGTGCATACTGTTAGGAACTCATTGGGAAGCAGTAACAGAAGCTCTCTGGTGCTCGATGAATGAATTTTCGTTGTTTTTTTGTTTTACCTTGCAGGTGAGAAAGGTGTGAGGGTTGAACTAAATAAACCTTCTGATTCAATCAGTAAAGACGTCTTATAGAGAGACTTTGATCCAGCAATACCCCCACTTCACCTACAATAATGTTGACGCTGTTTGTTAACTTGTGACTGCAAATAAATGGGATACAGAAAAACAGACAACCAGTTGGCATTTTCATAAGGAAACAGAAACAACTTTTTTGTGTTGCATCAGAAAGAAGATTTGACTGTATGGCTTTGTACTGCATGACTGACTCCAGACCTGTAATTGCTGTGGGAAGAATATAAGCTGTCAGCTGAAAACGGTATTTACATCTGGACATGAAATAAGTGCCCGAAGTAGAATTGTTTCATTCTCGTATTTTGCCCAATCTGTCATCTAGCTAAGTTCATTTCATCTCTCCCTTTTTTATATAGTCAAGTTTGAATTTGAAGTAATTTTTGTATGATCAGGTACAATCTATCAAAACTTAATTGAGAAAAAAAATTACAGTATTATTCCCCAAAGTAGCATCAATCTATTTTTGTAAACCTCTTCATACTATTAAATTTTGCCCTAAAATACTGCTTATAATGATTGTTGCTAGTGACTGATGATTACTTAAATTTTCTTTTTACCTAAAATAAGGAGCACTTTAATTACCAGCTGAAAAATCGGATTGTTTTGTCATCCTGTCTTACACTAATTTGAACTCTTAAAAATTGCTGCTGTTGTTTTTTTGATACTGTTAATAATGAAACATAACAGTAAAACCACCACCATTTACTACCAATAACTTTTAGTTTCGAATGTTTTGTAAGAAAAAATACACAGAAAAATACAATTTTATATTTTAAGTTAAATTTTAAAAAACAAACGACAGTGACTGGCAGTAGATGAACTTGAGATTACCTTCAGCACCAAGTTCCCGAACGAAGGGCTTCCGTAAGCTTCCCAGTGTGTCCTGCATCCGTAGAGGGCAGCATCCCCGTTCCTGAGGCTTCCTCTCGCTTCCCGGCAGGTGGGTTGCACATCCAGCTCTGCTGTTACATTTTTCTACTCCTGTGAACCACCTGATCCGCAGGTCAGAACCTTGTCCCTGTGGGGTCGCACCAGTGGGAGACCAGGTGTGTCGAGACTGAACTGTGCGAGCACAGACGCAGCACAGGGACCCCTCGGGCTGCTGCTGAGGCGCTCTCCGCACGCGATGCTGGCCTCTTGATCAGTACTCGAAGATGTATGTTTAGCTTGAAAAAACAAATGAAGTGAGAGCAAGATAATTTAATTTTTATGTTTTATGAGTGTTCTTTTTTACTTTTCAGAAAAAAAGGGAATGTTACAAAATCACGCAAGGTCTCCCAGGCTTGGATGCTTAATGTCTGAGTCGGGAGGGAGGTCTTAGACTTCAGTGTCCTAGGCAAAGCGCACAGGGTGGCATCCATGTTTTGCATGCACTCTGGGTGGAATGTCCACTTCAGTTTTCTATCTCTGTCCTTGATCTTCTTTGCCAAAATAATGTGAGTGTACAGAAATATTTCTGTATATTTCAGCTTATGACAGTTTTAGCATTTGTATAGTTTGTATTCAATTAGAGACCTTTTCTATGGAAAGCTCAGTAATTTTTATTAAAAGATTGATATTGTTCATGTAAAACATGAAAAAAAATTTAGTGAAACTGACAGTGTGGACCTAAGGTGGGATTAACATTCACTGTTGCAATCTCACTTAGCAGAACTTGCAAGAGAAAACTATAGTTAATGTTTTTCCTTGCCCATGTTCAGTTTTGCTCCACTTCCTCTCCTTGTTGCAGATAATCCACCCTAACATCTCTGCAGTAAGTGCCTCTGCCCGCCTCCCTGGGCGTGCAAGCTGGCCTTGCCGTCTGGTCTGCAGTGCAGTGCGCTGTGTTTGGCCCCGCTCAGAAGCGCTGTCATTCTGAAATCTGGTACAAATGGTATTGTGTTGATGGGAGGTTGTCTGATTGTCAAGGTGTGCAGCGAGAGCCTTTCAGTCTGGGAGCCCCGTGTCATTCAGATGTCCATTTTACTTTGTGGGTTCTGCTACCAGATAGGTCTTATAGTTTGTATTTTTTTTTTTTTTTTGGAAGGGTTTATGTAATCTCTTGGAGATCATTGTGAAAGGGTCAAGAAGTCAGGATAGGCATTTCTTTAATATCCATTTAAAATCTGTTCATTTCATGTTAGTGGGACTGTTAACTTGTCACCAAGCAGGACTCTTATTTAAAACAAAATTTAAAATTATTTGTGGCCTATATGTGTTTAATCCTGGTTAAAGATAAAGCTTCTAATGCTGTTTTTATTCAACACATTAACCAGCTGTAAAACACAGACCTTTATTTTATAAACAGCAGGCAAAGAATTTCAGGATTCATATACAGATAGACTATAAAGTCATGTAATTTGAAAAGCAATGTTTCATTATGAAAAAACTCAAGTTGCTTGTAAAGCTAATCTAATTAAAACGATGTATAAAATGTTCTTGAAAAACTTACAGTTGTTATTGCCATCTGTCTTTTTTTGTTTTTTAATCTTTTATCATATGGGCCTGTCCATCAGATAATGTGCTCTTCTATCACACATCTCTGCCTAGTCCAGAATGCTGGCTCCTGCTGTTTATGCATGACACCAAGGGAAGGAGAGAGCAGTCGACACAGGCGCCCAGCAGTGTGGGGGACACCCTGGGGCAGCCGGCCTGCCCTTGGAGTCCACGAGCCCTGTGTTTGGATTCTCAACAATCGGATTCTTTCCCTTTTAATAGGATTTAAAAAAATCACGCTAACACCCAAGCTTTCAAGCCATATCTGTGTCATCCCTCTGCTGCAGGAAGGACAGGGGCACTAGACATTTATCTCTAATTGTTACAGGTGTCCTATTGCATATACAAGAAAGTTAATGTGTGTGGACATAGACTAACATATATGTGCTCTTATAATGTGAGATCAGTGTACATGTTCATTTATCTCTCATTTAAATATATTTTTAGTGTGGTGTTTTAGTTGTTTTCCAGCCTATCTTAGAGCATTTGGAAAACTGTACTGAAGTATAGTCAGGTGAGTTAAAGGAGAGGGCAAATGAGTTAAGAAATGGAGACGAATTAGTAAGTTAGGCAGCGCGCTAAACAGAGCACAAGTGGAATGGGCAAGTCCATTTAGTTCTGGCTCAGCCACCTGCTTGCATGACAGTTGGAGGCTTATTCATCTGAAAGTAAGCGCAATAGCTCCAGACTCACGGAGTTGTGTGAGGCCTAAATGAAATCCAGGTGCACACGGTCCAAGAATGAGGGCTGTGTTCCAGCCAGAGACTGCAGTGACACATATTTATACCCTATATAAATACCCAGTCATCATCGCTTCTAGGATAGTGTTTTGGATATCTGAAGTCAGGGAGACATTCTCCAAATGCTGCTTTTGGTTTTAATGCAGATTCTTTTCATGATTACCTGAAATACGGCAAAGCTCAAGGATATATCATGGAGAAAGGGCATGGCCCCATCAGCTGGAAGGCTTTTATAGGTAGAGAACATGTTAGCAGCCTCAGAGACAGGGAACCTGCAGAGATGCAGGCAGCGAGAGCTCCCCTTCCTAATGGATAGCCCAGCTCGGAGCAAGGCATGTCATGAAGGTTCTTGGGAAGGGTCTCCTTTGCCTTGAGATGAAGACTTTTTCTGCCAGAATTATTGATACTTCTGTGCCGTTCTACAAAATATCCTTCCACTTTGAGAACACACAGAGGAAGCAGAGCCAACTTTATCTCCATTTATAATTATGACAGGATCAGAAAAGTGACTTTAAAAAGAAATACGGACCGTTTCAGCAGTTTGCATGTCATCCATGCGCAGAGGCCGTGCTAACCTCTGTATTGTCTGTAATCTCTGTATTGCCGAAGTGATTCTTTGGGGCTTTGCCCAGTTAGTTCTCAATAACGGCAGCACGTCGCTGCATCTTGGTTTTTCAGTGTTAGGCCTTATCTGACTTCCCAACGTGGAAGAGAAGTGTATAGGTCTCTCTCCAATCCTCCTTCACTGTCCCGACCACACACATGCAAGCACCTGCCACGTCCCCTGACCTTCCTCGTATAATTATGTTGTAACCTAGGTTAATATCGGGTTAATTGTTAAGACTACGAATACAAGTCAAAGCCTCAACGGGAGTGAACCGTGATGACTTTCCTTCCACAATTTACTTTTTCCCTTAATGTCTTGAGTTTTCCTTTTTTTTTTCCCTGTGGCCTCTAACCTGCAGCTTTGTGGAGTGGGTTGCCTGTTGTGCCGGCTGCACAGATGTCTTCCTTAGATCCCCGTCTCCATTGTTCTGGGGATCCCTTCACTGCTCTGTGCTGGATCTTGGGCTTCCTGGATCCACACTTCCTCTTTCTTCATTCACTTCCTTAGCCTGGTGAAGCTTGCCCTTCAGTACTTTCTGTGAATGAGTGTATGGGTGGCAGATTCTCTGAGACCAACGTCTTTCTTTTATTCTGAGTTTCAAGTCTAATTTGGAAATTAGATTTGAATTCTGCATTAGATCAGAATTTTGAAGGCATTGCTTCCCTGCTTCTAGGTTCCAGTGTGGATGTGAGAAATCTGAAGCCATCCCTACTCGTAATTCTTCACATGTAACCTGCTTTTGCCCTGTGCCCCGGGCTTTGTAGCCTTAGACGGTGCTTTGCTGTGTGCTCGCAGCCCATGTGCCAGGGTGTATGTGGACTGTAAGGTCACACCCTACAGTTGGGGACATTTTCTTAAATTACTACATGATTTCTCTCCTCCATTCTCTGTTTTTTCTGGAACATCTGCTGATTGGAGCCTGTTGCTTCTCTTCTAGTTATTATGTGTCTGTGTCTTTTATTTTGGAGACATCTATTTTTTTGTTCTCCCAGCAGGGGTTTCATGTGTGCTACTAGGTTTTTTGTCCTAGAAAGAGCTCTCTTTCAGTCTCTAAATTTTTAAAAATACATATAACAACCTGTTCCATTTAATGGATACAGTATTTAACGTTTCTGTTTTACTTTTTTGTCTCTCACATTAGAAGTTTTCCTTACATGCCTGGCAATTCTTGCTTGTGTGTTCATATGAAAGGGGAGGTACTTGGGCTTCTGGTTTTCCAGTCAATATTGGCAGCTGCCTAAATAGGAATCTCTTTCATAAAAATCTTCCCAACACCATACAGACAAGAACAATGTCACTTTTCACCTGTACCTGTAGCATAACTGAGACACAGAAAAAAGTTCTAGAATAGTATGCATGCAAAGCCAGCACCAGCATCCCAGCTCGTGAAGGCAGAGTCAGTGAAGGGATGGAGGCCGCGGGGGTCCAGCGGTGGCAGTACATGGCGGGGGTGGCGAACCCGCCTGATAAATCTGACACCAGTGTATCAAGAAGAGAAAGTTGGAACGTTCCTGAGGTTGCAGGGAGCCTGTTGAGGAATGTACCATTTCTGGGAGAGGGGGAAGATACCTCCTGGAGGAAAAAACATGAGAGACTCTGAAGGAATGCCAACCCCTCCCATCCCACAAAGACGACTGTGGTCTCATAAATGCTGCATTTCCCAGCAGAGAACACTCTGGAGTTAGAAACCCCAGAAGCAACCAACCCTCCGCCAACGCTTCCTTGCCTGCATAGAATCAACTGCGTATGCAAGTCAAGGAAAAGGATGTCTTCTAGATGAGCAGAGAAAGGACGACCAACATCTGTAAACACTATGAAAAGAAGAAACCAGAATCAGCTGCAGCTCAGGAATATTCACTCATCAGCCACAGGCGAAAGAAAACTGGAACAGTATCCAGCCTGAAGTAAATACCTTGAACAGGACTTGGCAGAAATAAAAATTAACACCTGAAATTAGAAACTCAAAGTCTTAGGGGAAAAAATGGTCCAAAAGGGAAAAAGGAAAGCAAAGAAAACCCCTCAGGAAGCTATGAAATGAATTGATGTAACTCAGCAAAGAAGTGGAAAAAGACAATTATCTTAACATTAAATTATAAGGTACCCAAAAAAGAATAGATTCAACTGAAAATACAATGAAGGGCATTAAAAAGTATGAAAACAGCCAAGAGTTCAAAACAGAGTTGGAAAGATCGGACATGCACGTGCGCTGTGGTATATTTACATAGTGAAATACTCCACAGTGCTGAGGACGGATCATCTACAAATGCACGACATGGATGACTCAGACGTCGTGTTATGAATTGAGACTTCATTTTCTTGTGGATGCTCTGGAGGTGGGTATTTTAATATCTGGTGTTCATGCAATTGAACAAGTAAGTGTTGGTATGTCTATAAATGAGTTACAACCATTTATGGATGTGTCTATACCCATTTATATTTTATGTATTGAATTATTTTAAATGTATACAAATGTATAAAAGAATTTTGTGAGGATTCTTTTGTAAAAAGCAAACACCCTTCCAGTTTCTTTAATGTTGATGCAGGTTTTGATAGACTGTTGGCCTTTGAACAATGCAGGGGTAGCGGCACCAATCCCCCAAAATGATAGGTAACTTGACTCCCCCCAAACTTAACTACTAAGAGCTTGTTGACTGGAAGCCTTACCAATAACCAACAGTTGACTAACACATACTTTGTAATGTGTCATATGCTGTATCCTTACAAAAAAAGCAAGCTGGAGGAAAAAAGTGTAAGAAAATCATGAGGAAAGTACATTTACAGTACTTATTGAAAACAATCCACATATAACTGGACCCGCCCATGTTGTTCAGGGGTCAGCTATTTGGAGTTTGCAAGCACTGTTTATAACGTGACATGATATGTGTCTTTATAGAGTTATCTAGCTTGAAAATACACCAACTTTGATTCTTGGGAGGAGTATGGAGAAGAGTCAGTGTTCCTTAAGGTGTTTTTGCAAAAGCAGATAACGATGGAATTTGAGAAATGCCTAGCCATTTCATTCACTCAGCACCAAGAATCTAAGAGGCTCTTCTGTGTTCTACTGGACCTCTAATGTAGGGGCAAGGCCATTGCGTGTCCTTGGAAGCTTTCAGACTAATTCAGACAATACAGGGCAGTGATAGACATACTGCGAGGAGTACTGTAATTTCAGAATCAGTGGAAAAGTATATAGGTCTTGCCTGTCTGGAAGACTTCCTGTTGGGAATTACCATGTTTTGCTCTATGTGAATACTGGTTTGTTTCTTGCGTAAGACTTTTGTGGGAGTGTTCAGAGTGAAAGGTGAAATAAAAACAAGTGTGGGGGGATGCAGGTGCCTTGTAGGTGAGTTCTTGCTTGTCTGAACAAGCACACACTCTTGGTTTGCTGTGTTCCCTCTCACAGGACTGGAGATCGTAAGCTGTCTATCCTTTTTTGTGAATCAGAACTGGCAATTATTGTTACAGTTGTGGGCAAGTTTTCCTCTTTGTTTTGGATGTATGTTGCCTTGGGGTATATCAGAACTTTAACTTGCCAAGAGCGCCACCTGGTGTTCAGTAAGCAAGAGGGTAAATCTTGGCAGTAGGTGTAGCTTGAGACTGAAGAAAGCAAAGGGTAGTTTGTTTCTGTATCACTCTATACAACACTATACTTTAGTTATGATAGGGTTTCAGAGTCACTTAAAAAAGATTTTTACTTTTAATTTCATATGATGAGGAAGTATGTAATCATGTAACTTCTAATATTCTAGTGGAATGGTAGTAAAAGCAGCAAGAGCTAATCACATCACATCCTTTTCTGTTAATACCAACTCCCTAAGCAATTTAATCTGTAATAATAATTGTATGTTAGTTTCACTTCATTTGGTGGATATGTATGCTGCTTGTCACCACAACAAATTGCTAGAATGGCAACAGTAGCCTCAAGGACAAAAATGGAGGCAGAGTAACAGGAAACCATTGCCTCTCAGTAACGACAAACTACAGAGTTTAGCTTTGTTCTTCCAGCGGCCCAGTGAGATACAGCAGCTCTTTCACTCTGACATTCTAATTTACTTAAAAATCCTATCAGCTTTGTAAAAAAGTGTCGGAGCTTTGGAGCAATGAAACATTGAGACGAAACACTCTGAATTTATAGTTAGTTTTGCTAGACAGTGTATAACTTTGACTTTAAAAATGGAAAATAAAGTCTGCTCTCCATCTACTCAAAATGAAGGGCCATGGCATTTAAAGACTGACCCAGAATCATTAGCTCTGTGTTAGGGTAGAAATTTGCTTTAAAATGGAAAGACCTATATAAATAGAACAGAAAACTTTCTTTAATATCATGTAGGAAATGACTCAAATTTGGGAGTACCAGAATTCTTAGTGTGCAAGTTTTATCAACAGTTTTTAGTAGATTGAAATGAAGGTTTATTTAATTCCAAATTTAACTTCAATTTTTTCTTCAGCTAGCGCGTTCCCATCATCACTTAAAATTGACCAATTCTTGCCCTGACCTGTGTGGTTCAGTTGCCTGGGCGTTGTCCTGCAAAGTGAAAGGTCACTGGTTCAATTTCTGGTCAGGACCCATGCCTGGGTTGTGGGTTCAAGCCCCCATCAAGGCACATACAAGAGGCAACCAGTCAATGATCCTCACATCGATGTTTCTCTCCCTTTTTCCCTTCCTTCCCCTCTAAAAATAAAATGTTTATTTTTTCAAAAAACTGACCAGCTCTTGATTGCAGACCTAAATATTTCTCCAGCCCAACCTCTCTCCATCCCTGCCACCACCTTTCTGCCTCCTGTTGCCCCCAGAGAAGCCATCAAAACACTTTTCAGATGTTCTTGACTGGCTTACAAACCTGTCCAATCCCCAGAGCACCACCCCCACCTGAACCAACAGATGTGTATTATCAGGGATGACACAGACTGGACATAAGATAGGGTCCCAGCCCTCAAAATTCTACTTAGCTAGAGCTGTACTGCCTTTAGTCCTCCTCCTGCCGTTCTCTTGCACATTTTATACTGTTCCTTTGAACAGCTTAGTTCTCCCAGTAGAATGGGGCTGTTCTAGACACCCAGCAAAAGCCTGTGGTAACACTTGCTATATTGAGGTTGATCTGCTTTTGTCTCCCTCCCCAAGTAGGCTGTAAAGCTACTTGAGGACACGGACTGTCGTACGCTGTAATCCCAGAACCTTGTACAGTTTGGCTCAAACATGCTTAACTGCGCCTTCGTTGGTGTGGCTCACTTGGTTGAAGTGTCATCTGTGAACTAAAAGGTCATGGGTTCGATTCCCAGTCAGGACACATGCCTGGGTTGCGTGAGAGGCAACTGATCTCTCTCTCTTGCATTAATGTCTCTCCCTGTCTCTCCCTCCGTTCCCCTCTCTAAAATCAATAAGCATGTCCTTGGGTGAGGATAAAAAAGGCAATGTTGAACTGCACATGGTTTGTTAAACTGAATTACAGAAGATGATCCTTGTGAAAATACAACTGCATATGTTCAACATAATACACATTTTAAGTCATTTATATTTATTAAATTCTACTTTTCAACTTCATACTTAAAAAATATCAAAACTCGCGAACTCTCAACCAGACAGGCTAAAATGACAAGGATTGATAATGGTGTTAACGGACAGTCGAAACTTGCACACGCTGCCGGTAGGAGCATAAACTGGCAGTATTTACTAAGGCTAACCATGAACGTGCCGTGTCCCAGCAACCCAGCCCTGAGTACGTGCCCAAGAGAAATGACGAGCACGTTCTTAGCAGCATTATTTGTAATAGCTCCAGCTGGAAATAATTCAAATGTCCCTTAATATAGAATGGATGTATAAACTTTGGCATATTCACACAAATTCTACAGACCAATGAAAAAGTGAACTTATGCACACATACCAACAAAGTAGTACTTTATGAAGTCCAAAAATGAGCTAAACTAACCTGTGGTGACAGTGGAGAAAACGGGTTACTCAGAGGCTTTGGGGATTAGCAGGGCAGAGGCACCGGTGAGGACACCTTGGGTGTGGGTGGTAACTGATGCAGTCGGTCACCAGCTTCACAGTGAGGATCTCTCTGCACCTTCTGTACAGATGAGCCACGGTGCCCAAAGGAAAAAGAAAACCTGTGAAGATGACAGCACGCTGGAGGTATAGCCGTGACACAGAAGGCAACTGCTAAAAGCGTGTGTGTCCCTTCACTGTATCAATTTAAAAATATATTTAAATTACCAAACGGTATTCCTTTTACTGTTAACAGTTTCAACTTTGGCTTAAAGGGCCGTAATATAATTCCAGCGTTACATAAACTAGGTTTGCTTTGTTACATATCTTAGTTACTTAGCACCAACTTTTAGCCGCTCATTTTGCTAAACTTTGAGAAAACAACTCAACTCTGGCCTGCAGAATTACAGTGGCTATTTGATACTAATGATATGCCGAAAGAATTTTGTTTTACCATACTCTACTTTAAAATCTGATGCCACCAAAGTAAAACAAATAAAATTCTTTCAAATATATAAAATGTATTTCCTGTTAAGATTTGAGAGGAAAAAAGTTTTAAAAATTTTAAAAATACCTTAAGTACCCAAACATAACATATTCTGCACTGAAGATTGTGTTTTTGGTCAATATGCCTAACACTATAAATACTAATAGTACTGGGAATGAGTTTTACTATTCATAAGGAAATACTCAGTTTAACCAAATATTTATAAATTATGCAAGTAGAAAGATGAACAGATCTTAAAAGCTTTTAAGAGCAAGAAAGAACAAAAATATCTGAAATTACACATGTAAACATGCAGAACAAACTGGGCCAGAGTATACATAAGGCAAGAGGAAATATAAATACAGTGCCTTTAGAGAAATATTTTAAATTACAACATCCAATGTATATATAAAATAGAACATTTTGTGTTGGTTGTGTGAACTAGGTTACAAACTACAAATCTTAAGTGTTAGCCAGAACTTCCTGAGTGACTGACGCTCTTGGTGAGGTATTGGTGGTGGCATGCGAGACCCTTTTTTGCGACCCTCACTTTTTCCCAAAGATTTTTGCTGCTTTTGATCCTGATGTTGTCATTCAAGGCAGAAATCTAAGTGTTCATTAATTTGAGACTCTAAAACCTTGTTCTGACAAACAGGACAGCAGACCACTTTGCCCTCACTGGACGGACCGCTGGAGTCCTGCGCTGCCGCTGCAGGGTGTGGGCTACACTTCGGATCATTCCCACCGTTCTGTATTTTCTCTTTCTTGATGAAAAAATTGTCAAAAACAGTCTTGTCTTCCAGCCTGGGTCGTTTACTCGGAAATTCATGTTTAGATCCACTTGCGTCCAGGGATACACATGTTGATTCCACTGCTTTTAAAGAATTTCTCAGGGCTATCTTAGAAGATGAAGCCTTTCTCTGAGAAACAGAAGAGACGGAGATTTTACTGATGTCACCAACTGTGACAATTTTCCTTGGGGACCCAGTCGCACTCCTGAAGGCCTTTTGATTGGCAATTGTTACCCTAGGAAAGTAGTTGCTTAAAACACTTTGGTGACAGGTGTTAAGAACAGGAGAGACTAGAGAAGCTGTTTTCCTTGAACCGTTCTGTTCAAATTTCACCTCAGTTGTAGAATTTGGTCTCATGGCGTTTGCTGAATGGTCTTGACTTAAACGATCATGGGTTTTAGTAACAGCACACGAAGGGGTGCACTTCCCAGATGAAGCGGAATTGTTTGTTTCTCCTAGAACATGTCCTTTCCCACTAAACGGGACAACTCTGTTGGGTTTATCTGCAAAAGAGACGAGTAAAATTTTCCTTGATGCAAAATTAATACAGAAACAAATATTAAGCCAAAGGATAGTTTTTTTAAATTAAAAAAACACTTTCATTCTAATTTAGATCCACATAATTACCTATTAATGAAGGAAAGACAATCTTTAGTAGTTCAAGAACTCGTACTGAGAGAACTTAGGAGGACAAAACACATGCTCCGCTGTTTAGATAGGGCATCCCACCTCGCCAAGGCCACCACAGACCTCCTCCAGTTTCAGTAAGAAGGGAGAAACCTGCCACAGCCGCCGCCGCCTCACGAGAACCAAATCTCTCCACATAAATGCTTCTATGGCTCCTCAACTTAATATTTCAGATTTAGGAAATAAACCTAAATCTGAATTTAGGGTCCCTGGGCCCTATCACGTCAAATTAAAAACTTCCCAAGAGAAGAAGCATTAACTTTAGTAATAACCTGGTTACCTCTTCAAAAGGCAGTGACTGAACTTCATTCTAAAGATGAAGTCCTAGCATACACACACTCTTCTCCCGAAGAAGTACAGACAGCCAGAGGAGAGGTCACCTGGACAGAATCCAACCGATAGGAAGGGGTGTAGTGACGACTTACATTCCGGGCATTGTGTTTTTTAATTATTGTTTTTATTTTGACAGTCTTTTTGCCTTCTGTTTCCTAATGGCTCACTGAGTCAAGATAGGGAAAGGGACTTTACCCTCCAATATTTCCAGTGGAAACGATTTCTACTTTTATGTCCACCTCCATAGAGCAAAGTACATTTTCCTACCGTCGTTTTCATGGACTGTAGGACTTTTGAAAGGTTCTAGAAACAATCCTTAAGCTTCTCTTAATACCAGTTCTCTAAGGCATAGCACTGTCTTCACGCTGTAGCTGGGGCTGTGGAAAAGCGGGAAGAGCTTACATAGGTACCTTTGTTCTCGGCCGCTGCTGGGTTTGTCTTCCCTTTGCCCTTTTTTGAGTAGTTCTCCGGTTCCTTGATTTTAACGTAAGTGCCTCCACAGGTGCTCTGGTGCTCAGCCCACCAGTAGTCATGAGCAGAGGGGGCCCTGTTGGTGGCACGCTTGACGTAGCCGTAGTAGGGCTTTCTGAGCTGACATGGCCCGTCACAGCGCCACCAGTGTCGCCGGTACTCGTCCACCTCATCGTGGAAGGTGTGGTATATCTGGTTAAAGAAAGGTTTCAGCAGTGAGTGGGCTAATTAACAATGTTAAGAAAATAGATAAGAAACTTTTTTTAAAAAGCCTTCCAGTTTCCCAGAATCCTTTCCCAAATGTTTTATTTTGGGAAAGACAGCAACTATATTTAGCTTCTGTTCAAAAGTTCATTTTCATGGGAAAGAGCAGCAGATACCTTCATACTCCATACACTGGGCAAAGATAGAGAAATGTGGACCAAAAAAAAAAAAAAAAAAAAACCAGGAAAAATAAAGCCTTTATACATGCTAGAAGTTTTGGAAAACAAAACGATCAAAAATTAGGGTAAAGACAAGAGCTTATGTAATGCCGTAATAAGTAAGATCGTTCCCACTGCTAAATTGGAACCGTCCCCTGTAAGGACCATTCCCAAAGCGTTCTGAAGGACTGACTATTTCTTTACATGCTGGACCCTCCACAACACAAGCATCTTGCCCGACAGAGCCTCTGCTAAACCTTGCCTTCTGCCCCGGCACAGCTCTTTGCTTGGGTCTTTGTCATAAGCCTATGGGCTCTCATTTTGTCTGTCTAGAGGTGAAACACCATCCAGAATTCAAACGTTTTCATCTTTGTGTCCCCAGTGGCTAATGTAAGCTTGGCACGGTGAAGGTGCTCGGGAAGAATTTGCTGAGTGAACGGAGAGCTTCATTCACTGAGTCCAATAAAATTCTCTATGAATGTGCTTTTCACTCCTTAAACAGGATCACCTTGTTTCACCCCTGGATGAAATCTCACCTAGAACCTAAGCAGAAGACAGAGAAGAGTTCTGACTGAAAGGAAGGTTAGCCCTCCCACCTCGGTGGCAATGAGGATGGCAGGGGACCATTTAAATCCACTCCCCTAAAGGACTACAAGAACCTGTTCTTCTGTCTTCTCAGTGGAACATTACTGTTTACGTAAGATAAGGAGCATCTGTATAAAATTTTTTTTAAATCAAAGGCATTTAACTTTCTAATAAGTTCTCCCTGCAGGGAAGAATGCTAAGCTTTCCAAAACGCTACAGATAACTCTCTCTCCATCATAAGCAAAAACATTCTACCACTTGGCAAGCAGGCATACAATGCACATTATATTTGGAGCAGAAGAGACTGGAGGACAAAGGTTTGGGGCAGAAGCATGTAAGACGCTGCTTTCTCTCACACTGAGAACCCTGCTTACTAATTAAATGGCAAAAAAAACCCCGGGAATTGGATCTGTTTTGCTTCCCGCTCCTTTATACTCCTACAGCCTGGGGATGTGACTTTTTAACAATGTAGTCACTAAAATAAAAATGTTCTGCAATGTGAAACTGGATGCCCTGTGGAGTTCATTACAACAGGATGTAACCTGAAAAAGCAAGGGTGTCCACTTGCTCAAACCTCTCCTACATAAAAACACACAGGCATCCAAGATAAAAGAATACATCATCTCCCTGCTGAGCGATAGGAAGGATACCAGGACTTCGCTTTAAGTGCAAATTCTAATAAGGAAACTAGCAGCCTTTTACATTAACAGCTCCGTAATTTCTTTGCTAATCTGGATTTTGTGTGATTGTTCTTAGTGCAAACCCCTTTCTTGATGTTGAAAGTAACTGTGTCCACTAATTACATGAGTGCTCCACAAAGTTCACACTGACAGCTAGAAAAAGATACATTGAGCACGAGCACTTACTCTCCATTGCACTGGCCTTTATTGCCTTTTAAAGGAAGGGAAAACCCAAAACAGCAAGGAATTTTTTTTTAATTTTTTTTTTTTTTGTTTTGGACATTGAATTTTAGAGAGAGGAAGGGAGGGAGAAAGAGAGATTCATTTGTTATTCCACTTATTTATGCACTCATTGGTTGATTCTTGTATGTGCCCTGACTGGGTATCGAACCCTCAACCTTGGCATATGGGGATGATACTCTAACCAACTGGTTACTGGCCAAAATTCCAAAGAATTTAATATATGTAGGAATGAATGATCTTTTTGGTTCACTTAAATATCTCATATAGAGGTCCAGAAAGAGGAGTAAGAGCCACTCTGTGTTCAGAGGTATGACAGCAAAATAAAATACTGGGGAAGGTTCAATATCTGCTAAGGAGATTCAAAGGACAGAGAAGTTAAAGCCCATTGGGAAGATGAAGAGCTTGCTGACAAAATAGAATTGGCATATTTTAGGGAAGGGTTTTTGAGGAAAGATGTGGAGGTAAAAAGTTCATTTAGAAATATAAGGCCTAAGCAGGGGAGGTATGGGAGGTAAGACAAAAGCAACAGAGCATTTATTTGATAAAATGAAATTGATAACAATAAAAATAACTAATTAGAACTCAAACTGTGTTAAAATGTTTTGCATGTATTTTCTCCTCTAACCCTCACAAGGATCCAACAGACAGGTACTGCTACCATCCTCATTCAGGGGTGTCCAACCTGTGGCCTGCAGGCCACGTGCCTGCCAGATGGCTACGATTGTGGCCCAACACAAAACAGAACAATTACTTAAAACCTTACGCAACTTTTCTTTGTGATCACATGTCACAAAGTATTTAACATGTGGCCTGAGACATCTCTTCCAGTGTGGCTCAGAGACACCAGAAGGTTGGACGCCCCGTCACGTTAGTAAACTGAGGCGCAGAGGAATCAAGAAGGCCCTACAGTTAGTAACCAGCACCTGAACCCAAGCAGTGTCATGCTTTTCGGACCCCAGGCTCTGCCATCTCCTACAATATCATGTCCCAACAGCAATCAAATTAGACTTCTGAGGAACGCAATGGTGTATGAAACTAGCGGAATACAGGGTGGACTGAAGGAGGAGACTATCAGGAAACAGAGCAGGAGACAGCTAACAGCCCAAGAGAGAGGGATCGCAGGCCCGATGTGGTCAGAGGCCTCAATACGGCCTCCTCTGTGGCCACTCCCCTCTGGTCCTCCTAGACCAGCCAGTCAGCGTCTATGGGCCTCTCGCTTGCTGGGCAAAATCCTCCAAGGTAGCATTTGTTTCTGCCCAGTTCTCTGTTTTTAATTAAATCCCAGGAATTATTAAGTAACTACTAAATATCGCAAATGCGTGTGGCTGTGTGGCTTTACATACCGTTACATTGGCTCCAGTCAGGCGATTAATGCGATGCATGTGCTTACAAAACTCGGGACCGTGCCCTTCCCGGTCTTTATCATTATTAGTGACAAATAAATAGGCATGTATCATTTCATGCAGGAGGGTCTGAAACAGAAAACAATTTATAGCACTTTCGAAATAAAAGTGCATTTTCTTACTCTACCTGGAGTCTTACCCTTCTTTGGCTCACAGGCTCCTTTCAGAAGCTGATAAAAAAAGTCATGAGCCATCTTTTCTAGAAAACATACTAGCACACATGCACAAAACTGTGCATAGAACAGCTGAAGCTCTACAGAGCCCAGTGTAGGAACTCCCTGTTCTAGGGAAGCCTTTTTATCTATCCATCAAAATCCAGAAGAAGAGATAATGAATTGACTACATAAAAATTTTACAATTCTGTATGAGGAAAAAAAGCACCTTAAGAGAACAGACCTTTAACATTTCATATAATACTGGTTTGATGAACTCCTTCAGCTTTTTCTTGTCTGGGAAGCTCTTTATCTGTCTTTTCATTCTAAATGCTTTGCTGGGTAGGATAATCTTGGATATTCATCCCTGCTTTTTGTTGCTTTGAATATTTCTTGCCAATCCCTTCTAGCCTGCAAAGTTTCTTTTGAGAAATCAGCTGACAGTCTTATGGGAGCTCACCTGTAGGAAACTAACTGCTTTTCTCTTGCTGCTTTTAAGATTCTGGCTTTGTATTTAACCTCTGGCATTATAATTATGATGTGTCATTATTAGTTAGGGTTGTTAGGGTATTTTTATTTAATGATTTTATTATTATAACATGTCCCTCTTTTTTCCTAGTAAAACTTCTTCCCTTAAAATCTTTAGTCTGGTACTAATATAACCACAATAGCTTTCTGTTGTTAAGTGTTTGGATGATATACTTTTTTTATCCTTTTAAACTTAACATAGGAGTTTTTAAGTGTGTCTCTTTTAATTTAGTATGTCACTCCATACCTTTAACTGGAGTGTTTAGTCTACTTATATTTAATATAATTACTGATACTGCGTTTAATGTAATTACTAATATATGCTTACCTTTCTCTTTCTTTGGCCTTTGTTCCTTTTTTTTTTTTTAAATTAATCAAGTATTTCTGTCATACCATTTAACATTTTGTATCTATTTATTTTTTAAAATTGTGATAAAAAACCAGTAACATAAAATTTACCATCTTAACCATTTTTAAATGTATAGTTCAGTAGTATTACATATATTCTTTATTGTGAAACCCATTATGTTTTCTTATCCTTAAAAACTGCATCCCTCATTTTTCTAAGCATATTTTAACATATTTCCCACCCATCCTCTACCACCCTACGCTCTTTTGTGCTTACATTTCATGTGGTATAATTGGGTCAAGACAAGTCACCCCGTGTGCATCTTGGAGAGTTTCAGGCATTTACTAGACTCGACTAAAGAAAACCTAGGAGTTTCTATTGCTGCACTTTACAGGCTGGAGTGACTGCCACCTCCAGCTATGACGAGCACCCTCAGGCCAGATTCTTTTGCCAGCTCAGCCAAACGTCCTGGGAGGGCCCCACCATGGATAGTTAACAGAAGAGAATCAAAACTGGTGTCCCCAGAAGAAGATTGGATCTTAAGTTTTCCTGTTTCTAAATATGCAACTTAAACCAGTTACATAACCTCTCTGAACCTTAATTTCCTCATTTATAAAAATTAGGGTAACACATACTGAAATTTGTAAATTATTGTAAATATCAAATTAGATACTATACCTGAAAGCCTTTAACTTTGAAACTCTATAAAAATATAAGGCAATCATTATTATTTGCCCCACAATTAAAGTTTGCAATGAGAGAAAACAGGTTTTGTTTACACGCACAGATCAATTCATAGCAGCCTAAATCAGTAAGAATTTCTAAATAACGTTTAAATATCAGGTTTATGCAAAGAATACCTCCACAAGGTCCTTTCTTGGTCTCAACTTTAAAAGGGGTTCACTGAGGCGGATGGAACACATTCCACCCCTGCCTTCATAGCTGCATATCCCAGCACACCTGAAAGACAGCCACCATCAAAGCGTTATTTGCCAAAAACACACAAAAGGGCAATCAAGTCCTTAAATGAAATCCTTATACATTCTCGAGTAGTTCGCACACGAGAACTCCATGGCAGATGGCTTTCTTAAAAGCAGACCCTCTTTGTTAAAGAGCCCTGCATCTTGCCCCAGTTAGGGTGCCACGTGACCGGCAGCGGCTTCCCGTCCCCTAGCCAGGCTGCAAGAGCCCAGGGAAGACAACCCTCTTCCGCCGCTCCCGTCTCTTTCCTACGAACGATCATCACCTGATTGTGGTAACAGCCCCATCTCCACTAACGCATCTCTAAAGTTACAACAGTCTTGTTTTTAGCTTGTCTACCTCCTAAGTTTTAGGTAGTACATAATCGCATCCTGAACTTGTTATTAATTCCGTTCACATACAGGCCTGTATTCTTTCCTATCGAGATTTCTCCAACTTAGCGTGTGGCAAAGGGATTCTAGGGGTGTCCCTGAAGACCCCTGGGGTCCAGAACTGTGGGAACGCCCACCCCATCCCCTGCTAAGTGATGGTACCCTAACTGCACAGAATAAGGACAACACGTCCTGGACCCTAAGGCACCCCCGAAAGACAAATCAGAGATGTGCTCGTCGATTTTCAAGCGAGATGCGATTCAAAAAAACACCCTTTTTTCTCAGCGCGTCCGTCGTAAGTCAAACCGTTGCGAGGTGGGCCACACAGCTTTCTTAAAGCTATTTGAGCGAGAGAGAGACGGCAGGGACGGAGAAATCCACCAGAGGAGATCCCCGTCCGAAACCGGACCCCTCTTTTAACGGCCCTGGGTCCGAAGGGGGTGGGGAAGAGGGGGGGAGGAGCCCCGCCCGCCTCCCCCGCACCCGGCGGGGCTCAGGACTTACAGGGTCATTCGCCTGCTCCACTTCACCTCGACGGCCTCCAGCTGGCCCCAGAAGAACCGATCGTTGAACTGCACGAACAGGGCCTGCAGGTCTGGGGTGGGATCCACCAGCTCCCAGGACTCGTCCACCAGTGATAGGGGCTCCTGAGCCTGACTGCGCTTCGAGACCTGCAAGTCCCACTCTTCCTGAAGCCGCAGTGCCAAAACCAGGTCCTCATCCATCGCTGCCAGGCTCCCAGGCGGGGTCCGCCAGCGTTAGGCTCGCTCCCGAACGCGACTTCCCGTCACTAAGGCTCCCACGGCCCGGTACAGCTCCTAGGGGATACTGGCTGTTTGGATGCTCTCGGCTCAGCCCGCGGATCTCGCGAGAACTCGGGGAACTCTGGATCGAGAACGAGAGCTGAGTTTTCCCCGAACGCGGAAGCCAAGATTCTGAGGCTTAAGAAAAAGAGCTCAGCATGACACCTCCTAATGCGCTCAAAACCTGGTTTCCCAGAACTCCGGCCAAGGAAGGTTTCAGGAAGCTGTTACAGCCTTCACGATACGTCCGTAACTTCAGAAACGTCACGTAAGGCACATGCGCAGTACCTACAGCGCGCTGACCTCGCCCTCCACTCACTTCCGTGATAGCTCCTCCAGCGCAAGCGCTCTAGGCCGCTGGCGTTTCTGCGCAGGCGCACTGCCTGCGTTCGGACCCATGCGCAGGCGCACTATCTGAAGCTCAGACTCGGGCGCAGGCGTACTCGAGTCTCTCCATCCTGCTTCCTCAGCCCGGAGCTCCGCCGGGCTTGGGTGGGCCCCAACAGCGGCGGCACCGGCAACAGTGGTAGTGACAGCGACTGCGTGAGACCTGGACGGAAATGGCGATGGCGATGTCGGACAGTGGGGCGAGTCGCCTGCGGCGGCAGCTGGAGTCGGGAAGCTTTGAGGCGCGGCTGTACGTGAAGCAGCTCTCGCAGCAGTCGGACGGAGACCGGGACCTGCAGGAACACCGGCAGCGCATCCAGGCGCTGGCGGAGGAGACGGCGCAGAACCTGAAGCGCAACGTCTACCAGAACTACCGGCAGTTCATAGAGACGGCCCGTGAGATCTCCTACTTGGAGAGCGAGATGTATCAGCTCAGCCATCTGCTGACGGAGCAGAAGAGCAGCCTGGAGAGCATCCCGCTTACCCTGCTGCCGGCTGCCGCCGCCGCCGCCGGGGCCGCCGCGGCCGCCGGGGGTGAGGAGGGAGGCGGGGGCGCGGGGGGCCGAGACCACCGCCGGGGCCAGCCTGGCCTTTTCCCCACGCCTGGGGGCGCCTCCCGCGACTGCGCTGGTCCGGGTGAGGAGGGAAAGCAGCGCACCCTCACCACCCTGCTTGAGAAGGTGGAAGGGTGCAGGCACCTGCTGGAGACGCCTGGGCAGTACCTGGTATACAACGGGGACCTGGTGGAATATGAGGCGGACCACATGGCCCAGCTGCAGCGGGTACATGGCTTTCTCATGAACGACTGTTTATTGGTGGCCACCTGGCTGCCACAGCGGCGGGGGATGTACCGCTACAACGCCCTCTATCCCCTGGATGGTTTGGCCGTGGTCAATGTCAAGGACAACCCGCCCATGAAGGACATGTTCAAGCTGCTGATGTTTCCCGAGAGCCGCATTTTTCAGGCGGAAAATGCTAAAATCAAACGAGAGTGGCTGGAAGTGCTGGAGGAAACCAAGAGGGCCCTCAGTGAAAAAAGACGAAGGGAGCAGGAGGAGGCAGCAGCTCCTCGAGCGCCGCCCCAAGTGACTGCCAAAGCCGGTAACCCGTTTGAGGAAGACGACGACGACGAACCAGCTGTCCCTGAGGTAGAAGAAGAAAAGGTGGACCTTTCAATGGAATGGATCCAGGAGTTGCCTGAAGACCTGGATGTCTGCATTGCCCAGAGGGACTTTGAAGGGGCCGTAGACCTGCTGGATAAATTGAACAATTACTTAGAAGATAAGCCCAGCCCACCTCCTGTAAAAGAACTAAGGGCCAAAGTGGATGAGCGTGTTCGACAGCTTACCGAAGTGCTTGTTTTTGAACTCTCCCCAGGTCGATCCTTGAGAGGCGGTCCCAAGGCTACCCGGCGGGCAGTTTCCCAGCTCATCCGGCTTGGCCAGTGCACAAAGGCTTGTGAGCTGTTTCTGAGAAACAGGGCAGCGGCGGTGCACACGGCCATCCGGCAGCTTCGCATTGAAGGTGCCACTTTACTTTACATTCATAAACTGTGCCATGTCTTCTTCACCAGTCTCCTTGAGACTGCGAGGGAATTTGAGACGGATTTCGCAGGCACTGACAGTGGCTGCTACTCAGCCTTTGTGGTCTGGGCGAGATCAGCCATGGGCATGTTTGTGGATGCTTTCAGCAAGCAGGTGTTTGATAGTAAGGAGAGCCTCTCCACAGCAGCAGAGTGTGTCAAAGTGGCGAAGGAGCATTGTCAGCAGCTGGGTGACATTGGACTGGACCTCACCTTCATCATCCATGCCCTTCTGGTGAAAGACATCCAAGGGGCCTTGCACAGTTACAAAGAAATCATAATTGAAGCCACTAAACATCGCAACTCGGAGGAGATGTGGAGGAGGATGAACTTGATGACCCCAGAGGCCCTGGGGAAACTCAAAGAGGAGATGAAGAGTTGTGGAGTGAGTAACTTTGAGCAGTACACAGGAGATGACTGCTGGGTGAACCTAAGTTACACAGTGGTTGCTTTTACCAAACAGACCATGGGCTTCTTGGAAGAGGCCCTGAAGCTGTATTTCCCAGAGCTGCACATGGTACTTTTGGAGAGCCTGATGGAAATCATTTTGGTTGCTGTTCAACATGTGGATTATAGTCTTCGATGTGAGCAGGATCCAGAGAAGAAGGCTTTTATCAGACAAAACGCATCCTTTCTGTATGAAACAGTCCTCCCTGTGGTGGAGAAAAGGTTTGAAGAAGGTGTAGGGAAACCCGCCAAGCAACTCCAGGACCTGAGGAATGCATCTAGACTTATTCGTGTGAATCCTGAGAGCACAACTTCAGTGGTCTGATGCTTGGCTCTGTTTATATGTATACAAATATATTGTTTCTATATTATTTATATTTATATTAAGTTGCATTAGCATTTTCTCTGTAGTCTCAAACACAGCTTAACAATAAAAGATGCCCTCTCAGATAGAAATCCAAAGGAGAAAGAAAAAATGTTAAATTAAGCCCAAATAACAAAATTGTTGCAATTAATAAAATATATAATATGCTTTCCTTTTAAAATTATGCTAACTCTCTAATGAATATATTGTCACACTGTATCATTTCAGCTTATCTTTTAAGTCAAAACACACTTTCTCATAGTACATACTGTGCAGCACAGGAAAATAATATGCCTAAATATTTTATGAAAAGTTTCCCAGTTCACTAAAATGTTAAGTTTCTTAAAGGGTACAGTGCCATATAAAACACCCTACTTCATATGTTTCCCCACCTTAAAATGTGATTGAACAATTTGGGAAAAAGAAAGGAAGAGATGAGAAAATGGGTTTTAGGGTAAATTTTGTTCAAAAGGATTCCTTCCTGGAAGTAGCTAGTGTGTGCACTCAAATACTCTGATCCTTAGAGCGCACAAGAGGAAGTACTCATAAAACAGTTCAGCAAACATTTCCAGTGTGATTTGAGTGGCTAATTATTTTCAGCTGCTAATTAGTAGCTTTATAATTGATTTGGGAGCATTTACTTGAAAACCTTAAGGACTATAGAAAGGATTTTTTTTCAACATATTCCCCAACTGTGTGAATGTTCAGCTAGAGCTTTTGTCTTTATCATTAAAAAAGTAAAAATAAACAGGACACATTAAGGATCCTGTCAGCACCAGTGATTTTTAGCTGCCCCTCCCCCATTCTGTAATGGCTCAGAGTTCATGCAAATTGAAGAAAAGTTTTCATTGAAACACTTATTCAGATGTCAGGATTTGGTGGATGGGAAATTTAAAAAAAAAAGTCATATGCAAATCCCATAGTGTTCTCAAGAATAACTGCTTTGAGCAGAGAATTGTTTTTGCTTTTTTGGTAACAGTGGAGAACAGAAAGATGAGACAGTGTACCCAAAACCGAGGGAGAAAAAGAACATTTTGATGACTCTTACAATGCCCCAGGCTGCATTTTTCATGTTTATTTTACTTGCTTTGTTTTTTAAAGTGAACATAATCCTTCCTTCACATTGTTTAGTAAAACAAAAATAACAAGAAATCTGAACTTCCCAGATTTCTAATCTTTTGCTTCTGTTGTTTATCAATTCTACAACATTCCTTACTGAGAGAAATTGTGCTAGCTGAGATCCATTTTTCCCAGCTTTGAGTTGTGATTCTCATCCATAGGTGCCATATCTCATGCCAATTACTTCAAAAGGTCATTTCTTTTACCTGAATAAAAATAGTGGTATTAAGACTGTGGAAATTGTGTAAAGCCTCAAATAGCTTCCAAATACTGGCTTAGTTAGGGTTGTAAAGCTCCTTGACTTAATTTTACTAATGCAGAGGAGACCTTTATTTTATTTTTAGCTCTGCCCATTTAGAAGGTCGGAAATTATCAAAGTTGCAGATTTTCTTTGACTACTTTTTTTACATAACTTTGGGATTTTCTAGATAATAACCATACTGGATATCTGAGCTGAACAAAAAGTTATAATTTGTCTTTTTTAAGATCACTAGGAACTTGAATTTGATAAAAATTTTGTGATTATTTTGTGCCACTTACAGTTTCTAAAATGATATTGTATGAAACACATTTTGTGTAAATATTTAATGCTGGGTCCATAAAATAATCCTTCTGAAATCAAAACTTCTTTTAAGGCATGAAGTTGTAAAAACTTAAATGTGTATACTCATACTCAAATGGTTGCTTCTTCATAGAATTGTCTGCTTTTTAAAACTGGAAGTCAGAATTTTCTGTTAAAACTTGTGTTCCTTCATCAGAGTTGTAGCCAAAGGAAGTATGCTTTTGGTGGATCAGTTAGTGTGGGAGGTTGGTTCAACGTCCCCAATGTTAAGAGTGTACCTTTGTGCCAGACAGAGCGATTATATTGCTGTTCCTCAGAGTAGGGTCATGGCTCTACTCTCTAAATAATTTTTGTTTCATTAGACTCCAAGGCAAGTTCTAAAACTTGAATGCACTTAGAGATTTCCCAGAATGTAGCACATACCGTAATATACCACTTAAGGGTTGATTGCCTTATTTGCTGGCCTCAAACATAACACTGTCACTTGAGCTTGGAATCAGACTTGGTTGAACTCATTCCTGTTGAAAAAAGACACCCTGTGGAATTAAGTCTCTTTTTGATTAAGGCTTCCTGTCACGTAAGTGCTGAAAACTCACTTATTTTTGTTTAAAAGTAGTTACCTGTAGTTACATGATCAGCATTTGTATTTTGCAACTTGCTTACTTGGGATTGGGAATATGGGACTTGACGTAGTATAAAATCAGTCTATGAACATTTTGCCTATTGCTATGCTGTGATATGAGGGAATCTGAAATGTTCGTCAAAATAAAGCTTACAATTTTTCTTACACTGGATAACATTGGTTGATATTACGATGTTCTGCTGTCTCTTTTTTAATCAGGATTTAATATTCTTATGTCCTGTTACTGAAACAGAGTATTAAAGAGCCTCCTTTGGCTCTGGTGGGGTGGCTCAATTGGAATGTCATCCCGTACACCAAAAGTTTGCAGGTTCGATCCCTGGTCAGGGCATGTACCTAGGTTTTGAGTTCCATATCCTCAGGTATGGATTAAAAAAAGAAAAAGAGCCTAGGTGTTTTGCTTTTTTTAAATTGATTTGAGAGAGAAACATCAGCTTGTTTTACTTCTGCATTCAATGGTTAATTACTGTATGTGCCCTGACCAGGATTGAACTCACAACCTTGGTGTAGGAGGACAACGCTCTAACCAACTGAGTTACCCAGCCAGGGCTCTTTCATTTTTCTATATGGGGATGATAGGTAGGAAGCTGTTAGCTAATTTAAATGTGTTCTGCTAACTCAGAATTGTGGGTAAATCAGCCCTGGTTGATGCGCTTCAGTGGATTGAGCACTGGCCTATGGATTCCCGGTCAGAGCACATGCCTGGGTTGCGGGCCAGGCCCCCAGTCGGGGGCTTGCAAGACGCAGTGGATCGACGTTTCCCTCTCTTTCACCCCCTCCCCTCTCTCTATAAATAAATAAAGTATTTTTAAAAACGAGAATCATGGGTAAATTAGGTCTCAATTTTTAAAGATTCCCTTCAATGGGAAATTTCAGCTACACAAAATGTTAGTTTACTCTAAAAAGCAGATTTTATATCATCTACCTATCCCTAAATGGAGAAATATGATGTAGGCCGTAAGACCTAGGAACTGGGATTATAAATGACAAGGATGTGTTTTTTAAAGTAATATTTAAATACTGAGGTAACTATCACATATAACTGATTAAAAAATTCATTGAATGCTATGCCTCACATTGACTATAATGTGATGCTTTAAAATTGGACAAAATGGAGATTAAAATTGGAAAAATAAATTTGAGAATAAATGAGTTGCAAATTGTTAATGAAATTAAGTAATTGAATGCAAACTGTCGCAATAAAAATAAACAAAACTGTTGTAGTTTAGCAGTCCATCGCCTTAACCACTTGGCCACCTCGTCCCACAAAACTGTTGTAGTTTAAATATTGTGGAAACACTGAGGAGAAAGAGCAGTGTTATTTTTAGGAATTTGGAAAGTCATCCAGAAATTATGTGTGAACAAGTCTGTGGCACATTTCCGGAAATTCCTCTGCCAAAGGATTCATTTTAAGTTAGGTAAACACTGTTAAATTGCTCCTCAGCCCAGTTGCTACATCGTATCTTTTCCTCAACTGTATAGAATGGTGGTTTCCTTAAATGTTTATTTCATTCATTCGTTCATTTTTTAATAAAATGATTATTAATAGTAAGATTTAGTTACTTTTACTAATCTGTGGAAAAATAGTATCTAGTTTTGTTGGTAATTTCTGAGTGAGGTTGAGCAACTTATTTCATTAATTGCCTGTTTACATTCTTTTCTTAGATTTGGTAGTTATGATTTTGTAGGAGCTTATTGAATATTTAGGAAATTAATTCATATATATGAAGTATTGTAGATTTTTTCTGTTTATTATTTTTGTACGACAGTAAGTTTCAGTCTGCTATGAAGTCTGGGTTTTTTTGGTTACTTCCCTATTTTTCATCAGTCTTAGGTCTTACCTACTTTCAGATTCTAAAAACATTCATGTTTTTCTTCTAGTAATTTATTATATTTTAACATTTAAATTTTTGCTTCATCTATAATTCATTTTAAAGTAAAATATGGTGTAAGAATTCCATTTTCCCCATAAATAGCAAGTTGTTGCAATAATTTTAAATCATCTTTTTTCCCCTTTGACTTGAAATGCCATTTTAATAATACATTACCTTTATGGTAGATATTTATCTGGGTACATTTTTAGGTTCTATATTCTCTTTCACTGGTATTTCTATTTCTGTGCTATGATCAAGCTGTGTAATTAACTGTAGATTTATAATGTAATTTAATGACTGTAGACCTGGTCTCATTCTTATGCCATTTCAGGTTTTCCTAACTAGTCTCACATATTTATTATTCAGTTTGCATTTTGAGTAATTTTAAGACATTCTCTACCATCCTACAAAAGAGTTGGCATTCTGATTGAAATTGTACTGAATTTCTAGAAATTCAAGGAGAATTGACATCTTTATAATTTTGAATCTCCTATTCATTTTTGCAACTGTTCTTTTGTATTTCATTAGCATTTTCAAATTTTCTTCAGGTAGATCTGGGATATTTCTTGGTGAGTTTATTTCTAGCATTTCATCTGTTAGTGCTGTTGTGAATAAAATCTTTACCTTCATTTGGTTTCCTGGGCGTTTGTAGAGAACACACTGATTTTAATTACAGATACTGTTACCAGTGCCTTATGTGATTATCTTATGGATTTTAATAATCTCCTTGTTGTTCCTTCGCAGTTTTCAAGTATATGATCGCATCCCCTGCAAATAAAGATCATTTTGCCTCTCTTCAGTTTTTATATATTTTATGTAGTTCTCTTAATATTCTGTATTAAGTTGTGCCTCCACGACTATCTTAAATCATACAGGTAGGTTAAATAATAATAACAACAATAATATTTAAATATATAAAGAATAATAAATAATCCAAAAATAAATAAATAATACAAGAATAAACTATGTTTCATGTACTCAAAACTATAAACCTGCTTTTGCCCACTCTTACATTTTTTTTTTTGCTTCGTAGTAATATCAAGGAATTAAGAATTATACAAGATTTGTATCTAGTAGGAATGTATCTAGTAGGGATATTTTTCATATTTTTTACTTGAGGTATGAAAATCCAGAAGGAGGAAACCCAGCGAAGTGAGCCCAGCATCTGAAAGTCTTTATTCCTAAAGCCATGTCCCACTTCACCGGTGGCTGAGAAGTTGAAATGTCAACAGATACATAGAGCTAGGGAGACAAAAATCGGACTCCAGGGTGTACGAAGGAAGGATGCCCCAGGAAAACCCCATCGAAGATTCGGACTAGAACCTTTAGAGTCCACACCCTGCGAATAAATAAACAGGCCATCAAGCTTCCTTTGCATTAAAGGGATCAGAGGTTGCTAGTGCCTCTCGTGGTCTGCTAGTAGCAGAATCTTTTACTGAGGGTGTTAAAAATCTGCTAGGCCTCAAATAGTTTCTGCATTTTTTATGCACAATGTTTAGGACTCAAATAAAATAACAAGATCTATGAGGAAGATAGGCTATTTGATTAAAACACAAGAGAAACACAGTAGAAACAGACTAACAGAAGACCCAGATGAAAGAGTTGACAAGTATAGACTTTAATATGTTCACAGGAATAAATGACAAAAAAAAACCCCTCTAGTTTCTCAGAGAACTTGAAACTAAAGCAAAAACAAACAAAACACCACTTAAAAAAAAAAGAAAAAAAAAACCCAAACAAACAAACAAAAAATAATGAAATGGAGAGCCGAGAGCTGTAAAATCCAACTGAAAAGTGAAATAGGTTTCAGAAAAAATGGGAAACAGCTGAAGACAACATTAGGCCCTGGAAGATAAGATAGAAGAAAATGCCCAGGCTGAAACACAGACAAACTTTTCAAAAGAGTTTCAAAGACATGGACTACATTTAAAAGCTACAATATATATGTAATTAAAACCTCAGAAGCAAAAGATACATTTTCATTTTTTTTGTCCTATTTTTGAGAAATGTTTGCAACGTTAACTTCTAATCTTCTCTGTTTTCATAGTTTTAATTTCCAAGCTCTCTTTTTGTGTCTGACTGTCCCTTTTTAATACAGCATCTTCTATGTCACAGAGAATATTAAGAATACAGATGCTCCTTGACTTATACAACAGGGTTTTGTCCCAATAAATTCATTGTAAGTTGTAAATATCCTAAGTCGAAAATGCGTTTAAGATACCTGACCTCCCCAACATCATAGCTTAGCCTAGCTTAAATGTTCATGGAACACGGAGATCAGCCTGCATTTGGGCAAAATCACCTAACACAAAGCCTATTTTATAAGAAAATGCTGAACATCTTGTCATTCACTATGTATATTGCTTTCACACCATCATAAAGTCAAAAAACTGTAAGTGGAACAGTTGTGAGGACCATCTTTATTTACTTCTGTTGTTGTCATGTTAAAGTTTTCTTCTCTCTAAGCTTTGTTCCTTCACGTTGCATTTTTCTGCTTTTTCTTCCTTTCTATCCAATATGACTTCATTGTCTGTTCATATTCACAAGTTGAGGAATCGAAAGCTGACATGAAGCTCAGACCACATGGGTGAGGTTTTGCCAACTCTGGGCGTGAGAGCAAGCTGATCTGGGAGCCCTGATGTCAGCATTTCTACAGCATTTTTGGTGGTGTTTTGTTTGTTTTTGCTTTCGTTTCAAGTTCTCTGAGAAACTAGAGGGTTTTTTTTTTGTCATTTATTCCTGTGAACATATTAAAGTCTATACTTGTCAACTCTTTCATCTGGGTCTTCTGTTAGTCTGTTTCTACTGTGTTTCTCTTGTGTTTTAATCAAATAGCCTATCTTCCTCATAGATCTTGTTATTTTACTTGAGTCCTAAACATTGTGCATAAAAACTGCAGCATTCCCTTGGCCGCTCAAATCACCTGCAGACATTTTTTTTTTTTTAAATCATCACCCAAGAATATATTTATTGATTTTTGACAGAGAGGGAGGTGGGAGAGAGAAAAACGTCTATGAGAGAAAGAGCGATCCTCTGTGCCTCCTGCACACGCCCCGACCAGGGATGGAACTCACAACCTAGGTAAGCGCCCTGGCCTGTAGGCTTTTCCGGTCTCTCGCCTGGAGGGATAAGGCGTGGCTGAGAGAGCTCGAGAGCTGAGGCAGCAGAGACAAAAACCTCACCCTTGTTCTTCGCACTGTGCACAGCATCCTCAGCTCTGTCTGGTGTCCCTCTGCCCGGAGAGGTGCTCTTTTACCCTCATCAGAGGAAACAGTCTCCAGTTATCACCGAGGTGGGGCACAGTTAGTCCCGGCTTGGAGGAGGAGGAGGCGGGGTCCAGCGGCTGTGTTAACAGCCTTTCCCCACATCTCCCGAAAGGACTCACA